GTCTGCGTTCCTTTGTCTCCGACCGTCGTCTCCGTTCTTCTTCGTCACTGGAACAATCCGTCTAGCTTCTCCTTCRTCTCCGGCCGCCCGTCCATTGTTTCCGTTCGTTTATCCCGAGGTTTCTTTTTTGTCGCCTACCKCCCGTCGATCATTCCAGCCCTCCGTTTATCCCGACCATTGTCTAGTCGCCGACCGAAAGGTTTGTAGGTTATTTGCTTTATTGAAAAATTTGTAGAGGGATATAGTCGTAYATACTTTATAGCCAGATATAGGTTATATCTCCATATAAGTGTATGTTATAATTACTATAGTTTATATCACCATTGTTAAGTGTATGTTGCTTAAGTTTATAGTCGAATATAGTTTATATTTCCATATAATTGAAAATGTAGTTGGATATAGTTTATATATATATATATAGTTTATATCACCATTGTTAAGTGTATGTTATAATGGCTATATTATTAAAATTTGGCCAAAAAGGTAATAAAATGATAAAATATTTGTAATAAATTTCATTATTTAGTAGAATATATTAAGGAGTAAATTTGGGGATTATGATAATAATTGAATATTTTGTAATAAATTTCATTCTTATGAGTAAATTAGGGAATTATAAGAATGATTGATTTAGGTCACACAATAATTTAATGTTTACAAAATCAAATTTGGAATATTAATCAWTTGYATTTAAATAAAAGACAAATTATAATAAATATAAATGYCATAAATAAGGRCAAATTTAACATTTGAAAAAAGTTTTAAATCCAGAAATCTAARACTATAAAATTTATAAACATTGGATCATTTGTGAAAATAAGTTTGCAAAATAGCTTATCCAAGACATTATCTCTAAGTATAACGCAAGAGTGTCTGACGACATTTTGATTAGAAATATGTGCCTTAATCGTCAAGCTATGATGAATTGGCCAATTGAACAATTTTTTATTTTAGGTTAAATATAGGTTTAGTCTTTTAGATTTTTTTTTTCTTTCCAATTTGGTCTCTTATATTAAACTTGACTGTACCTAAAAAAAACTAAAATTAACTTATGATAATTTATATGACAAGATATTTAGTGAGTAGAAGTAAAGTTGGAGGAGAAATTAGACAATTTAAAAGGAAAAAAGTACAAAGTTTTACTGATTTACAAGAAATTTGAAAGAGAAATTAAAAACTTTCCTCCCCATAATRACTTCCCAGTTTGGTTCTTTGCCTGTAGAACATAGATTTCGTTCTACTTTGAAGTTAGAATTTCAATATCCTAATTAAGAAAAGTATTTTGTTATTGTCACGTTACTCAGTTAAGACCTATCAAATTTAATGATTTTTTTTTAATATGCATGTGGAATGAATATTCAAATCTATATTATTAACTATATTTAAGTTTGACAAATTTAATACATCTAATATTAACAAAGAAAATATCTTTGCATTATTTATTTTAGTGATTAACGTGGTTTCATATAAATCGGTGGTTATCAAATATGTCAGTTTCTTAAAAAATAAGAAAAAAACGTATAACAAAAAGAAAGGAAAAACATGGACGTTATCAAATGAGTCTCCTACTCTAAATCTTACAGGGTGGCCAAGTTTCGACAGAGACAGTCGATGATTTTGAGATAATTTCTAATTTAAATGTTATAAAATCTTCTCCAACAATATAGATTTATGTTCAAATTCCTTTATTTTTCTTTAAATCTAACAAGTATATATTTAATTTCTCTTCAATTACACAATCAACATTCCACGTATATAATATAAACATTAAAAATAACTATATTTACTATGATAGGAAGAACCATCAATATGCCATGTTACAACATGTAACATAGTGAATTGACATAATTAAATTTTGTTGAGAGATCAAACCACTTCACTGATAAAAAATTTGCTAATAACCATCAATGAGTTGTACTAAAAACATGTTATATTTCTCTTTTGGATAAAATTTTTATTGCTATGAAATTTCTAATAAGTTGATATAAACTTCAGCTTTTATTTTTTTATGGGTAGTCTAGTTCTTCATCTAAATTTTTACCAACTCAATAAACTATCATGTTATATGTTTGATCAGGAACCTGACAAAGTCCGCGAACCTTGGCTCAGGTGGAACATGACCTGACAAACGAGTTGGAAGTGTGATGAACATGAAACCTACAAAACAGAAGACACTCATATGCCCNTCCGCGAACCTTGGCTCAGGTGGAACATGACCTGACAAACGAGTTGGAAGTGTGATGAACATGAAACCTACAAAACAGAAGACACTCATATGCCCAAGCAGTGAATGGCTGAGCTATATCCGAGAAAGAATATAGTTTCGCGTACCTGGAAATGAGGTGGGAGGTTCCTATTTATAGATGGAGCCTCCAACAGGACTTTCGACAGAGCTCCAATGACTCTTTAAAGTTTCARAAATAGCGGTGCTTTGTCATGGAATGTGTCAGAAATGCACTCCTGATGAAGTGTCATTTTGTTGGCTCGAATGGCTAATGTGTAGAAGATAAGGTTGGCTCAGTCGGCTCGCATAGTGGATCGAACTGACATCAGATCAGCTCGACCTATTGAAGCAATATTCGAAGCCACYAGTCTTCCTCAACGTATCAGGGTCTGCTACGTGGTTAGTGAGAAATCACCTCCAACATTGTATAAGTTTATCACCCATCAAAWTTAACATTCATTGCTAGTAGTGACATAATTGAATATTTTAAAATATAAAAAAWTATGAATTCATTTAAATAATAGACAATAAATTTACAAAAAAATTCAAAGAGACATATTTTTCTTTGTGAATTTAACTTTAAACTTTTTAACCTTTTGTCGATGATATACATCTTAACCAAAAGAGTTATGTTCATATTAAGTTGATAGAGTTAAAAGGAGTGTTATATATCTAAATASATTCTATATTCAATTTTTATAAACAACATCAGTAGATTTTAAGAAATTATCTAGTGGAYGATATTAGATATTATATTTCACAAAAGTCCATTGTTTTTAATACTTACCMATATAGATTTCGAGACCTATTAAGATTTCTTGTTCCAAAATTATCCTCAATAAAGATCATCCTATTATATTTATTTTATATTCTTAAATTACATTCTTCCTAAATGAATTAGTGGTTATTTAATGTAGGGGTGAGCATGGAAATTTGAAAAACCGAGCCGACCTACCGAAAAGAGGTCGGTCGGTCGGTTTTACATACCGTCAGTTCGGTGTCGGTTTTGGGGTTYCCAAACCGATTTTGTCAGTCTGTCGGCGGCCGTCGATCAGGCGATACCGACCGACCGAATATGTAATCTAATTTTTTTATTTATTAAAAAAATAAAATAAATCTTTYTAATAGTCATTGTAGGGTTTCACTTTCTATTTCTTTTTTGTTTTCTCCAATCTCCCTCACGTCGTCCGCTGTCTCTCCTCACTCTCTATTCTCTCTCTGGCCCG